CAAACCTGCCTAATTGTTCTCCCATCCGCCTTGTTCTGATATTTAAAATTTAAGTAACATTGTTAAGCAATAGTCTTTTCTGGAAACAGCAGCCATTAAGAGTATTGCTCATGAATTTCAAAAAGTAAGGCTTCTAGATTGTTTAGAAATTAAGTCTTTGACTTTATAGTCATTGGTAATTTGCTTCAACCAACCAGAACCAACTTAAAGTATAATATAAAAAGAGATGTATTTGACTCTCAGCTTAACCTATCCATTCAGTGAACCTGTTGTTAGAAAATTAGTTGCTAGATGAAGCAAGGACTTTTAGAAGTAGAAAATAAAGGTGAAATAAATTGTAAAAGTTGTTGATCTTATTAATGCTATATCTTCTCTGCAATAGAATATACAAGGTTTAAGAAAAGCATCCCCAAATATGAAGCACATTTTTTATAAACGTAGTGTGATTTCTTCTTCTTCTTTTTAATAGATCACGTGATTCTTCTGCACTTCCAGTCAAACGACTTTGGCATTTCCTTGTTAAACAAGAAATCCTTCAAGAGACATTTATTAGATATATTTTCACTAAGAAAAGAAAGCAGAGTGAGGTATTTTGATATAATAATTTTTATGTAATTATTGTTTAGCTTTTTCTTAACATATCTAATGAAGTGACTGCTTGACTTATTTTGTAATATTCTTTTGAGTTGGAAATTATTATCTTTCATACATCATGGATAATAGTCAAAGCTTACTGAGCAATAGTGAATCTCTTTTGAGATAAAATGAAAGTTAGCACTTCCTTCATTTTATTTGCCACTGTAATTTACAGCTAAGTACATATTGTCATACATGGCTTGGGGAATTGAAGGTATACATGAATATATTCTATAATGTGACTCTATGAATATTATTTAATAAAAATACAACAGAGCCCTCTAAAAGCACCACTACTGGTGTGGTGCTGTAGGATCAGCACTGGACTGTGAACCATAAGGTCAGCAGTTCAAATTTACCAGCTGCTCCTTAGAAACCCTAAACAGGGTTGCTATGAGTTAGCACATAACAACAGCATATATGAAATACAGAAATCTGAGGAGTGGATCTAAAATGAAAAGTATTGCTTAGTTGTTATTGTTGTTGTTAAATGTTGTTGAGTTGGTTCTGACTCATAGCAACCCTGTATAGTTTCTGAGGAGTGGCTGGTGGGTTTGAACCAACCAACCTTATTGTTAGCAGTTCAGTGCTTATCCTGCAGCACTGCACTAGGGCTCTGTTTAGTCACAGAAAGCCATTTTATTGAAGGATTCATTTGCTGTTTAGTTCTTCAAATTATTACACTTAATTTTTTATAAAAAGACATTGTCATTGTGAAGTGCCATTGAGTTGGTTCTGACCCATAGCGACCCTGGTTAGGCTTCAGTGGAGCTTCTAGACAATGACAGACTAGGAAGAAGGACCTGGCAGTCTAATTCTGAAACAATTGGCCAGTGAAAGCCTTATGAATAACAACAGAACATTGTCTGATACAGTGCCAGAAGATGAGATGAGCCCCTCAGTTTGGAAAGCACTCAAAATACAACCAAGGAAGAACTGTCTTATCAAATTAGAGTCCACTTGATTGACGTGTATGGAGCAAAGCTTCTGGGATCTGTATGTGCTGATATGGCATGACTCAAAATGAGACTTGACAGCTGCAAGCATCCACTAGTAATTGGAACATGAAATAGATCCATTATGAAGTTATCAAGAATGAAATGGAATACTTGAATGTTGTAGATATCTTAGGCATTGATGAGCTTAAATGAACTGGTATTGGCTATTTTAATCCGACAAGATAACAAATGGAAGGAATGGTGTCACATTTGTTATTTAAAAAACAACAACTCCCAGGATCTATCCTGAAGTACAGCACTGTCAGTAATAGGATACTATCCCCACACCAGTTAACATGACTGTTAACTGGTGTGGGGATAGTATCCTATCACATTTTATGCATCAACCTTTATGCCAAAGGTGAAATAATTGAAGATTTTTACCAACTTATGTAGTCTGAAATTGAACAAACATCAATCAAGATGCATTAATAATTACTGGTGATTGAAATGCAAAAGTTGGAAATAAAGAAAGATTGGTAATTTAAAAATATGGCCTTGGTGTTTAGAAACGACAGTGGCAGTCACACCATAGAATTTTGCCAGACCAATGACTTCTTCATTACAAATACCCTTTTTTTCAGAAACATCAACAGTTTCTCTCTATATATGGACCTTACCAGATGGAATACACTACACTTAAATAGATGACATCTGTGGGAAGAGATAATAGAGAAGCTCAATATCATCAGTCAGAACAAGGCCAGGAGATTACCACAGACTAGACCATCAGTTGCTCATATGCAAGTTCAAGTTGAAGCTTAAGAAAGTTACATTCACAGGAGTTATAGCACAGCCTAGAATGTATCCCAGTTGAATTTAGAGACTATTCCAGAAAAGATTTGATGCACAAAACACAAACAACTAAAGGCTAGATGAGTTGTGGGATGACATCAAAGACATCACACATGAAAAGGGCAAAAGATTATTTAAAATAAAAACATGAAAGAAAGAAAAGACCAAAATGGATAGCAAAAGAGACTCTGAAAAGGTTCTCGAACATAGAGTAGCTAAAGTGAATGGAAGAAATGATGAAGCAGAAACAGATTTTGAAGGGCAGCTCAGAAAGGCAAAAGTAAAGTATTATAATGAAATGTGCAAAGACCTGGAGTTAGAAAACTGAAAGGGAAGAACACACTCAGCTGAAAGAACTGAAGAAAAAACTTCAGTCTAATGTTGATCATACTGAGGAAGACACTCAGTGAAATGCATTGACACCGTGGCTGCAACAGTGGGCTCAAACATGGTAACAGTTGTGAGGATGGTGCAGGACCAGACAGTGTTCTTGTCTTTGTACACAGGATTGCCATGAGTCAGAGCCAATTCAGCAGCACCTAGCAACAAACAACCAGTGAGCAAAATATTGACCATGCACGAAACATCAGAAGAAGATGGACAGAATATACAGTCACCAAACCAAAAAGAATTGGTCAGCATACAGCAATTTCAGGAGGTAATATGTTTAAGAACTAATGTTATTGAAGGAAGGAATCCAAATTGCATTGAAGGCATTCATGAAAAACAAGGCTCCAGGAATTTACAGAATATCAACTGAGCTTTTTCAAAAGACAATGCAACACTGGAAATGCTCACCTGTCTGAGAAAAAAAAAAGGAAGACAGCTACCTGGTCAACTAGCTGGAAGAGATACGTATTTGTATCCATTCCAAAGAAAGGTGATCTGCCAGAATGCAGTCATTTTAACAATGCCATTAATATCACATGCAAGTAAAATTTTGCTGAAGATAATTCAGAAATAGACATAGCAGTATATTGAAAGAAACTGCCAGAAATTCAAATCAAATTCAGAAGAGGATGTGGAATGAGAAATATCATAGCTGTTGTCAGATGGATCTTGACTGAAAGTAGCGAATACCAGAAAACATGTTTGCCTGTATTTTATTGACTAAGTAAAGACATTCGACTGTGGATCATAGTAAATTGTGGGTAACATTGCAAAGAATGGGAATTCCAGAACACTTAATTGTCCTCATGCAGAATCTGTGCACAGACCAAGAGGCAGAGGCAGTTGTTCTGACAGAACAAGGGGATAGTGAATGGTTTCAAATAAGGATCGATGTGTGTCAGAGTTGTATCCTTTCACCAAACTTGTCAGTCTGTATGCTGAACAAATAATCTGAGAAGCTGAGCTATAGGAACAAGAAGCTGAGCTATATTAACAAGACCATGGGATCAGGGTTGGAGAAAGACTCATTAACAACCTGTGGTCTGCATATGATACAAATTGATAAAGATCCATATGATCTTTATCTTCTTCACTCTTTTGCTTGCTGAGATTCAAGCGGACTTTAAGCACTTATTGATAAAAATCAAAGATGACGACCTTCAGTATAGACTGATGATGATGATTGTGTGCCACTGAGTCGGTTCTGACTCATAGCGAACCTATATAGGGTTTCCAAGACAGTAAATCTTTATGGGAGCAGAAAGCCTCATTTACTGCTGCAGAGCAACTGGTAGATTCGAACTACTGACCTTGTGGTTAGCAACCCAGCTCATAATCCACTATACTGCCAAGGCTCCTAATATGAATTACACCTCAACATAAACCAATAAGCAACATATGTGGAGAAAATAAATTGAGAAAAGATTGATACTGCCAGGGATTTTATTTAACTTGGATCCACAGTCAATGTCCATGGAATCAGCAGTTAAGAAATCAAATGGTGGCATATTGCATTAGTCACATCTGCTGTAAAAGACCTCTTTTTAAAATATTAAAAAGAAAATATGTCACTTTGAGGTATGTGTGACCCAAGCTAGAGTATTTTCAGTTGCCTCATGTGCTGGTGAAAGCTGGACAATGTGTAAGTAAGACCAAGAAGAATCGGTACCTTTGAATTATGGTGTTAGTGAAAAATGTTTAATGCGAATATACCATGGACTGCCAGAAGAATGAACAAATGTGTCCAGGAAGAAGTACAAGCTGTACTGTTCCTTTGAAGTGAACATGGTGATGCTTCATCTGACATACTTTGGACATGTTATCAGAGGGGCTCATGCTTTGTAAAGTAACAAGTCAGCTAAAAAGAGGAAGACCCCATGAGATGGAGTGACAGTGGCTACAACAGTGGGCTCAAGCATTACCATGATGGTGAGGGTGGTGTAGGGAGGACTGTTCAGTGATTTGTGCCGCTGTACATAGGGTTGCTAGGGGTTGGAACTGACTCGATCGCAACTAACAACAACAACAACAACAACATGACTGAGGAACTGAATCTTTAATATTTTGTAAGTTTTAGCTCAACTAAATTTAAAGAGCGACGTATGATTAATGGCTAGCGTATTGAATCATACAGGTAAGTTTTAAATTAAGTTTTCATTAAGAAAAAACTTAATTATGGAAAAGACATTTAAAGCTGCGGAGAAGATAAAATAAAAACAGGTTATTAAAGTCACAAATATGGAAAATGTACTCTGGCTGCTCCTTGGAAAATCCCATACAGGGTCACTATGGGTCAGAACTGACACAATGGCATTTTAACAACAGAACAACAGCCAATAAGAGTGCTTTATCTTTATAAATCGTTAAGCAGAAATTTGCTAATCAATAAATGTGGTAACTTTGGTGAATTGATAATTTCATAAACTAATCCTAAAAATATTAAAACTTTGGTTAATTTTAAAGCATGACTTAAAAAAAAGAAAATGCACCTGGGAAACGCTGAAGTTCTGGATCTGTTCATAGGTAGCTATTTTAGCTCTTTGAGTATATTAGAGAATACTTCACAGAAGTTTTTGTGAAGTTGATGAAGTTGGTGGACTCAGCTAATTAAAGGAAAAGATGCATAATTCATTAGCAGTTAGGCTATTGTTAATTAGGCATTCCATAAGTTTACTATTTCCTCATGTGTTCTGAACGTAGCTATCTCTTAGGATCCTGTTAACAACCAGGAACAAGTTATTTGTATAATGTCTCTCACATGCCTAACAAACATTTATCTATTAGAAGGACGAAAGTCATGTGATTGTAGTAAATGGTGCAAGGTGGTTGGTTCAAACTCACCAGCTGCTTCTCAAAACCCCTGTACAGGGTTGAAATGAATCGGAACCCATTCAACAGCACTTAACAAACAGCATAATAAATGGTTGACTTGAATTCTATTCCCTGACACGGCTGCTTCATGAATTACAGTCCTTAAAAATGAATGTTGTTGTTGTTGTTAAGTGCCGTAGATTTGGTTCCGAATTCATAGCGACCCTGCCTAAAGTTTCTGAGGGAGGGATTAGTTAGTTTGAAGTGCCAGCCTTGTGGTTTAAATCTACGACCTGCAGTCCAGTGCATTATCCTACAGCGCCACACCAGGACTCCTAAAAGTGAATAATTACAAGTGAGACTGTTATTAGCACTTTGAATCTGTGTTCAGAAGTAAACACAGTTGACTTCTGAACAATGTGGGGTCTAGAGGTGCTGACTTCTACATAGTCAAAAATTCATATAAAATTTAGGTTGGCCCTTGAGCAACACGGGTTTGAACTTCGCCAGTGCAGTGAGCTCAGATGTTGTGAGTGTCTGCTTCAAACGCCTAGAGAGACAAATTGCTCACTCAGAAATAATTCGTATCGCAGGGCGTTTTTAACTCGCAACACTTGAGCAGCCAGGAAAAGCACCAGGAAAGAAAATAAATCCACGTTTAAGTGGGCCTGTGCAGTTCAAATTCCTGTTGTTCAAGGGTCGCCTGTACTTTTAGTCTATATTTGAAACCTATCCCTGTAGGATGGGAATACACATAGTATAATGTTCATACAAAAGAGTTTACGTTTTAGCGAGTACAGTTTAAATTATATAATACATGCAAATAACTAACTTTAATTTAGGAATGACTAGCTTTTATGTTTTTATATCTAGGCAACAGTCATCATAACTTTAATTTTACCATTTTTGCTTTGTGGTGTGTTTATCCAATGACATCCCATTCTACTCAGTCTCATTTCTGTCTTGGTTTTAAGCTCTTTAAAGGAAAGCTTACCAATTCACTTGCACCACCATTAAGTGATAGCATGTCCATTTTAGTTGGAAAATTTTCATTCTATTCATAATTTCATTTCATGCATGTGTTTTGTGTTTGTGACTCTGTGATGTCATTTAGTCTGTAGAAGGACATGTGGAGCAGGTCAAACAAAACTGCATAGCAGAAGATGCCCACATCAAGGTAGTATACCAAGCCCTTATATTTAGCTCACTCTTTAAAGTTCAAGGAGCTAACCCCTCATCTCTAATACTAACTACAACCGGCCCAACTGGCTAACTACGCAGCGGCACAGAGTACGAGATGCTCACACTCTTCCTTGCTATTGGTACTCCTTGTGCTGCTCCCTGTGCCCTCTCATGTTTCCCCCCTCTCTCTTCTTAAACATGGTTGTTTTATCTTTCCTTCTTCGCAATTCTTCCTCTTCTTTCCTTCTCATCTGTTCCAAGCCAGTGCACTTTTCTCTCATCTCTCTCTCACTCTCATTCTTTTCTAATTCTTCTTCTTTCCAGCCTCGCCTTATTCTTATCATATCATGTTTATTTAAAACTGTTTCAGCTCTTATGTGTCTCCTTTGTCTTTCTGCCTGTATCATTTTCCTCCAATCCATGCCTTACTTTACTGGATACACATTCTTACAGCCGTATCTTTGCTCACTTTCAGAAGAGGCAAAAGAGACATATTGCTGTTATAAATTACTAATGAAAATGATTTTAGCTACTGTGTGGCAATCAGTATCCTATAATCACAATGTGAGATCTTTGTAATTGGGGTGCTTTACAGGGCATTGGAGAATTTAGGCAGATTTTCAGAAGCTAATATTCTACCCACTAAAATTACTGGCACCTTTTTTCTTGCTGCTGTTTCTGCTACTCTTCTTACCCTTATTTTAAGCTTTGTGAGACTGCATATCTCTGTATAGCGCTATACTGCAGTAATTAAAACTGCTGACAAATGTTTTGTAGGTTGAAGCTGATCTGGGCTATCCAGGTGGAAAAGCAAAAGTCATTCATAAGGAATCGGATATGATCATGGCATTCTCGGTTAATAAGGTAAAAGCCTTAGTCAATATAATGAATATTCTTATTGGTGAAACTGGTTACATTGTTGACTCTGTCTTTGTTATAGGCAAACTCAAATGAAATCGTCTTGGCTTCAACACATGATGTTCAAGAACTTGATGTGACTTCTCTATTAGCCTGTCAGTCATACATATGGATTGGAGAAGAATATGACAGAGAATCCAAAAGGTTTGTGTTTCTTATATGGTCATTTTTAAATGTAGTCTTCTAAAAAAGAACCAATGAAATGGTGATGCACATGATTTGGGTGATTTTGGAAAGTGTATATGCATCTCTTACATTCTTGGGTGGGAGACAAACGTAATTGGCTTAGCTCCCAGTAAAAAGCTCTGCCTACGCTGATGAAAAGCGTACTCACTCTTCTGTTAGACTCTGAACTGCTCAAAGTGTCTGAGTCAGAATGATGTGTTAGCCTAATGCTAACAATTTCCACTTTGGTATGTCAGAGATTATGTATTACTCGCTAAGCTTAGCTGATCTGGATAATTAAAGCAAAAAGTACTATATGTAAATAGACTAATTAAACTGATGCATCTCATTTACTGAATTATTTTGCAGTGTTTCCTCCTGATTATCTTTTTTTTTTTTCAGATAAAAATGTCAACTTCTCTACTTCTCGAGAAAGCTATTGCTCACTGCACCAAACATATCTTGCTTTACTTTTGTAGTTTGGAGTTTCTCCTCCATGTTTGCCCTCCCTCTTACTTTTGTCCAGACTTTCAGAAATTTTATGTGCCTGGAAACTGTGCCATGATATTTTTGTCAGCTCTGATAGAACGAGGCTTCAGAATCACATTGCAGAATTACATTTCTATGTAACCATGTAATATGATATAACATTACAAAAGTTAACTTTTAGATTTTTATAATAACATTATAAAAGTTAACTTTTAGATTTTTTTTGTACCATACCCTAAGGAATCTTTAAACTTGAATTTCTATAAAATGTATTAATGTGATGCCTGGGATATCAGTACTTGAAGAGAACATATAATCTTTTCCTACATATGATGAAAAGATAATCTGTTCAGTGTTTAAAAAAAAAAGCATTTGTGCATTAATAAATTGTTCCCTGAATGACACTAGACTAAATTTATAGTTTGTCTAAAGGGAAAAAGTTACGGACCTAGAAAATAGCATTAAAATTGTCTATGATTTAGGACCTCCATCTCAGTTTTTCTTGTGGCTACTTCTTCAGTGCTTTGAATAATGAATGTCCAATCAGTTGTCTGGTAAGAAGCTTTATGATTGGACTTGTGTTAAGAGAACATGGAACGTACACAGTAACACACCAATGTTTTCCACAGTTCAGACGATGTTGATTATCGTGGTTCCACTACAACTCTTTACCAGTCCAATGCGGCAGCCTATTCTGCAACTCAGGTGCACCCACCTTCATCTCTGCCGTGGCTGGGCAGCGGACAGACGAGCACTGGAGCAAGTGTGGTATGTGTTTTACTATTAGGTATGCTTTCTGGATGTGGACTCCTCAAAAAGAAATTGAAATCACTTTCACATAACAATGATCCTAAAGATCAGTGGCAAAGACACATGGCTACACCATAAGGAGTGACTGGTGGGGGTTTGAACCACTGATCTCGTGGTTAGCAGTCCAGTGTTTATCCTACAGCTCCACGCCAGGAATACTAGCTAACAGTTATTGTAAGTTTGTGTGTGTGTGTGTGTGTGTGTGCCAGGTGCATGCTTTATTTCTCAACAGCCTTCTGTGGTAGATGCTACTGTTATCTTCCATTCTATAGATGAGGAAACTAAGACGTACAATGGTAAAGCAAAGTAGAACAGTAATTCCTATTAATTATACATGTTTGAAAAGTACATCAGTAACATTCTTGATGGTCACTGTAGTTTAAGGCGTCCCAGTCTCATGTCCAGCTCTGCAGAATCTAGAGTACCCTTGACTGTCCTCAGAAAGGTACACTAACAGGTACACTCTGAAGAATGTGGAGTACCCCTGACTGTCCTCAGGAAGGTACACTTTACCCATAGACAAGGCTGCCTGATAACCTCATAGTTCACACAGGCTTGTTGTTGTTGTTGTTATGTGCCTTACAGTCGGTTCCGACTCATAACAACCCTGTACAGGGTTTCCAAGGGTGTAAATCTTTACGGGAGTAGAAAGCCTCATCTTTCTCCTGTGGAGCAGCTGGTAGTGTCGAACTGCTGACCTTGTGGTTCGCAGCCTGATTTGTAACCACTACGCTACCAGAGCTTGTGACTGTGCTTCCTCAGCCTGTCAGACAAGCTGTTTGACGTGAAGTTATTCAGAAAATCCATACCAGAATTTACTTCTGGAAAAATCAAGTTGTAGGAGAATGTCACAATTAGAGTTGGCCTGAAGCATATCTTTCCTCATCTCTTCATTCTTATCTTCTTTTAAAGCTTATGAAAAGGAATCTACATAATGTTAAAAGAATGACCTCACACCCAGTCCATCAATACTGTAAGTATTTCATTTATAATCGAGGGTAGTGAGCAGCTTCTGTCTTCTGGTTTCATAGAACAGAAACTAGTTGAACACTTCCTTTAGCATTTCGATTTCTCATTTTCTCCTCATCCTTCTGTGTCTCAGATCTCACAGGTGCTCAGGATGGCAGTGTACGCATGTTTGAATGGACCCGGCCTCAGCAGCTTGTGTGCTTCCGCCAAGCAGGGAATGCAAGAGTTACCAGATTATATTTTAATTCACAAGGAAACAAGGTTAGTTCTTGTGGGGGTCCCTGCTAAGTTAATCTGGAAACAACTGTGGAGATTTCTGAGTCAATGTTTAGTAAAACTACAACTAAAGCAAACTCAGTGACCCTGGTTTAATGCAGAGCAGGCAATTTGTTGGTATCTATTCATAGACCCCGTTTTCTCTCAATTGATATGTAAGTCCACAAAATTAAGTATGGACTAATTAATCATTCCCCTAAAGATATTGAGTAGAATCCTGGTGTGGTGCTGCAGAATAATGTGCTGTACCATAAGGTTGGTTTGAACCACATGGTCGGCTGTTCAAGCTCACCAGTCACTCCTCGGAAATCCTATACAGGGTCACGATGAGTCGGAACTGATTCCATGGCACTTAACAACAACTACAACAACAAAGATATTGAAATACCCTGTGAGTTTAAAGAACCCTGTTGTGTTGAGTGTGCTAGTGGTGCCTATAAGCAGTCAGCATTTGACAAAGTCTTCCAGTTTCTTACTAAATTCTCTTATACGAGGAGGCATCAGAAAGTTTCTGGGGAAATTCCATTATCTTTTTAATTCCGTTTTTCCAGAAATATTTTGAAGCTCCTTATAGAGGTTGGAGGAAAACAATGAAATGGTGTGGGAAAGTAGTTAAAAGGGGACAAATTTATTGAACTGGATTTTTTTGGGAATTACAGTGATAGAAACACAACTATAGTGGGAATGTTAAGGTGGGTCCGAGTGATTCTCCTTTCCTTAATTGTATTTACTTTTAATGGGAGCACTAACAACCTGTTTTTAATTTACGCTATTCTTCCAGTGTGGTGTTGCAGATGGAGAGGGTTTTCTGAGCATCTGGCAAGTAAACCAAACGGCCTCCAATCCTAAACCTTACATGGTAAGTATCACTTAGTAAGTGAGTGTCATGGTTGGTCCAGTTGGGAACGGGACAGGTTTGCCCATCAGCCTTAGCCTAGCAGCATAGCACCCATCTTGCTCTGTTTTTGGACCTAAAAAAATCCTTGCTTTTCATTGCTTGACAGGTTGTATTTGGAAATTTTCTAAGCCTTTCCTAGGTATGGTCTTACTTAGGCTACATCTATATCAAAGACTCTTAACTCCTTAGTGGTGGAATTTTGTAGTGATTTATTTTAGGAACTTACATAAAGAATCAAACAGATTCCATCTAGTCCAGTTTGCTCAGAAATTTTTGTTGTTGTTGTTAGTTGCCATAGAGTTGGTACCAGTTTATAGCAACCCTACGCACAGCAGAACAAAACACTGCCATGTCTTGGGCCAGAGTCACAATTGTTGCCACGCTTGAGCCCATTGATGCTGCCACTTTGCCAAGATTACAAAATACCCCAGTCCCAATAGATCATTTGGTTCATTAGCCCAAATCATATTTGGTGATGAAAACAAACATGGTTTCCTTGGGTGGCGGGGTGGACAGGTGACACTGCCCTCTGTCAGCCTCTGGCTTCATGTTAGTTAATTTCACAGAAAATGCTGGACCTCCAAGATCTAGATTACCCAAATACTTTCAAATTGTCTTTTCTAGACTATTGATATGTTCTTAATCACGTAGATGTATATGAGATAAACCATTTCTCTCTCTCTCTCTCTCTCTCTCTCTCTCT